CACACCCAGCCTATCACATATCATTTTTTTTTTAAAGGAAGTTAAGTTTTGGCCAGGTGCCATGGCTCATTTGGATTTTAATATTAAAATCTAAATGTAGGCCTGACCAACATGATGGTGCACACCTGTAATCTTAGCTACTTGGGTGGCTGAGGCGGGAGAATCACTTGAATCCGGGGGTGGGTGGGGGATGGAGGTTGCAGTGAGCCGAGATCACGCCATTTCACTCCAGCCTGGGAGACAGAGCAAAACTCCATCTCAAAAAAAAAAAGAAAGTTAAGTCTTGCCTTATACATACTAAGGTATTTATGGATGAAATAATATATTTAGGATTTGCTCAAAATTATCCAATAGTGGGGGTAGGGCAAGTGTGAAGCAGGGAAGTAGTGCGCAGATGAAGAAAAAGTGGCCAGGAGTTGAGAACTCTTGAGGCTGGATGATGAGTACTTAGGAGTTCATCGTAATACTCTTATTTTTTAACATCTGTGAAAATGTCTATAAAGGAAAGTTGGTTTTAAAAAATTCATATCACACCATGCATACCATAAATTTCTAGCTGGGTTAAAAAATGCAAATGGGCTGGGCATGGTGGCTCACACTTGTAATCTCAGCACTATGGAAGGCCGAGGTGGGCAGGTCACCTGAGGTCAGGAGTTTGAGACCAGCCTGGTCAACATGGTGAAACCCCATCTCTACTAAAAATACAAAAATTAGTCAGATGTGGTGGTGTGTGCCTGTAATCCCAGCTACTCAGGAGGCTGAGACATTAGAATCACTTGAACCCAGGAGGCAGAGGTTACGGTGAACCAAGATCACCACGCCACTGCACTCCAGCCTGGGTGACAGAGTGAAACTGTCTAAAAAAAAAACCAAAAAAATCCAAATGTAGGCCAGGTGCAGTGGTTCATGCCTATAATCCCAGCACTTTGGGAGGTTGAGGTGGGTAGAACCATTTGAGCCTAGCAGTTTGAGACCAGCCTGGGCAACATAGTGAGACCCTGTCTCAAAATAAAGAAAAAAATATCCAAAAGGAAATCATACAGCCTAAAGTTAGTGGCAATGACTTGGTAGTATGTAAATCCTTAATTCTAAAAAAGCTCTTAATTCTAAAAAATATTCTGTAATTTTAAAAAAAGGAAATCACACGTCTCAAAAGAAAACATATGTAACTGTTTATATAATCTTTGGATAGGGAGAGATTTCCTAAGCATAATAACAAAATCAGATTTTCCTGTGGCAGGATTTAAAACTTTAGTATGTCAATAAAGACCATAAACAAAAGTAAATGCCAATCAACACGCTTGAGAAAAATATTTGCAGTATATAAATGACAAAAGATCAATAATATTAAAAGCTTTTGTAAATCGATAAGAAAATATGAATGTTCAGTATGAAAATGAGCAAAGTAGTGCACAGGCAAGTCGCCAAAAGATAGAAATGGCTAGTGTACATGTGAAGAAATGTCCGGCCATCACAATCAAGGAAATGCAAGTGAAACAGCCAGGCCACTTTTCAGTTTCAAACTGGCAAGAGCACAGAGGCCAGATCGTGAAGCTGAGGAGTTGGGCTGCAGTTGGTAGTAGACGGGGTACCCTTGAAGGAGTGTGAGCATAGGAATCTGATGCCTTTACAGATGGAATAGAGCTGTGGGACTGAAGGCTAGGCCAGCAGTCTAGGTGTGAGGAGGCTGTGGTCTGCAAGAGCACAAAGCATGAGAAAAGAATAGTTGGGTTGAAAGCACTTGGAAGGAAAAAAAACAGTAGGTCTTGATGGTTATCAGAGAGAAAAATCAAGATGGCCAGTGGTTTGGCAGGGAGGACAGTGACACCAAAGGAAACGGGTGCTGGGTAGTAGGTGAGGAGAAGTCTGGAATTTGTTTTTGACACTGTGGGCCACTGTGTTAGTCTGCAGTCTTATTACTAGAGACTGGCAACTGACCCAAATGATTAAAGCTAGAGAAACATTTGCAGCCCTTCTTAATGGTCAAGTCCTGGGTTAGAGTTTCAGGCACATCTAGATGTGGAAACCCCAATGATATCATTAGGGGTCTTTTACTTCTTTTCTCCCAAAGAAAGGACAAAAATGTCCACAAGTAGCTACAGGCTCACATCCTACCAACTTAGCACAGCTCCTAAAGTACCTGTATCAGCCAGATTGAGAAATGAGTCTGTTACTGACCCGACCACTGTGACTCTAATGGAAAAGACTGAGGTCATGTGCATTCCCTGGGAGCTAGTGGATGCGGTCAGCCCTACCCAAATCTACTCAAAGTGCAGGGAATGGTTCTCAAAGGGAAAATTGGAGATCAATTCACAACAAAGAGGGACGAGAGCTGGGCAGCAAAAACAATCAACATCCACTGTATTTCACTTCTTAGATGTCCAAGATTGACACAGACCCCCTTTCCTGTGTAATTTTAAAAAATACTTCCCTGTTTATCATAATGCAACTATCCCTCACCAAACTTAAAGCACAGTTCTCCTACTTCTGGGAGGAGACATTCGAAGTTTTCACCCAGTTACCATATCTATCCCCAATTTAACATCTTGGCAATAGCAATGGGCTGTTTGGTTAGATACTAAGCTCATGGTCTTTCTATTTATGGCCCAACCACAATGATGGAGAGAAAACTGTATAGCTGAAAGAAGAAAAGCCTTCCTAGTTGAAGAGGGGGGTGAGGAAAAAAAACCTGGTCTGTGGTCCACATGTTTGACTCAAAGATGGGGAAGAGGTTCCCTGGTACACCAATCTTGCTGCTCTGATTTTGCTGTCTCTGTGGGAGGTGCCCTGAGGGGTACAGGTTTAGAGAGGTTCAGGGCAGCCATAGGGGCTGAGCAATCCTATCCTTTGGTTTGTGGGGGTTTTCTGGCAATACAGTTCCCTTAATCATTGGGAGGCTTTTCAGTCCGTTTGCGTTTTGTCATCCCCAGAGCTATTAACCAGAGCTACAAACCTCTATGAAAGTTATGATTCTTGAATGAATTCCCTGGTGGTGGTGTAGGAGGGGAGGGGTTATCTCTCAGCAACAGGCCCCAGTGTTCTGTGCATCCCAGGAGCCCTTGGTTCTGCAGCCTCTAGCTGGGCCTCTGCCACAGGGCAATGCAAACTCTTAATCTGGGATGGGAGGCAAAATGTCATCTGCCCCTTCTCACTCAAGCTGCATCCCAACAGAAGCCTGCTTATAAGAGAAGCTTCTGTCCAGCTGGCAGGGCACAGGAGGAGGGGTTCAGCAGGGCCTGAGGAGTCAAGTACCTGTCAGGCCTCAGGCTTGTCTCCTTCTTAGTTCCCAGCCTGTCTGTCTTCGCTTGAGCTGACTTTAGCTTGAAGAAAAGAGCTGGCTCTTAATTATCTTACTCTCAGCCATATTGAATTACTGGCCGCAGGCAGAAAGGACCTCTCTGGGCAAGCCCAAATTTTCTTCCTCTCTGTTTTCAGATGGGCTCCTTTCAGCCAGAGTGTGTATCTTGCTTGTTGGACCTTACTGAGGCCATGGGAAAGACACTCAACATCCTGACATTTTTCTACAAAATCCCTAATGTTGCAGGCATGGTAGGTACATGGCCTGAGCTCCAGGGATGGTGGAAGACAGTTTAATCAGCTGTTTTACTGCTGCTCTGTGACAGGCTCACCAACCCTCTAAGTCGGCTGTGGGGAAAGCAGTGCCAGCTTATGCCCCCCTCCAACTAAGGAGCTGAACTAACAGCTAATTTCGTTTGTGTGTCTATTAAAAATTTCCATCTCTGATTCTAATTTCTCGGTTAGGATATTTTCTGAGTGCAAGTAACCAGACCCAACTGTAGCTAGCTTTAAGCAAAAAAGGGCAATGGGGGCTAGGCACGGTGGCTCACACCTATAATCCCAACACTTTTGGAGGCTGAGGCAGGCGGATCACTTGAGTTCAGGAGTTCAAGACCAGCCCGGCCACCATGGTGAAAACCCATCTCTACTAAAAATACAACAGTTAGCCAGGAGTGGTGGCACATGCCTATAATCCCAGCTACTCGAGAGCCTGAGGTAGGAGAATCACTTGAAACCGGGAGGTAGAGGATGTAGTGAGCCGAGATTGCACCACTGCACTCCAGCCTGGGTGAAAGAGTGAGACTCCATCTCAAAAAAAAGGTGGGGGGGGGTGGGGGGGGGACAGGATTGATTGGTTTGTGCAACTGAACAGACCAGGCTCTCAAACAGTGTCTGTGAGCAATGTCTTTCTCCATCTAAGTTTTGCTTCTTTGGGTTGGCTTCATTCCCAGGTGTCTCCTCCCAAAAGGAGAAAGGATGGCCCCAGCAGCTCTGCCCTTCTCCATCAGCTTAGAAACCTGATCCCAAAGAGAATGCTTTCCCTCAATCATTCCAGAACAGTCCTGGGGCTCACTGGCTCAACTTTGGTGCTCTGTGTTTATCCCAGGACTGATTTGCCAAGTCTATGTCACATCCCCCAGACCCTGTGGACTGAGAAAGTAGGGAAGGATGGTTCCCTACGGTCAAAGCAGGGTGCTGTTACCGGGAGGAGGACTGGATGCTGGGCTGGCACAGGGAACAGACATCCACCCATACATCCTGTGGAAATGCCAGAAGGCAACAGAATTCTGCGGCAGGTCATGATGGAGAAGTAGAGCTTACAGGTGTAAGTAAACCTATGAGAGGGAAGCTGACTGCCTGCCTAGTGGGAGGAGAGAGATGGAGGACCGCAGAGGCAGACCTCAGGGAATGAGGATGTTTAGGAAGGCAGCAAGAACAGGAAGTTACAGAACCAGGGGAAAATCCAAACAGGAAAGCTCACAGCAGCCTGTGAAGATGGAGGGGTCAACAGTATCAGCACAGGACCAAGAAGGGGAAGACCCTTGATGACAACTAGCTTGTCTGATCAGCAAGTGATCTGTGACCTTGATCACAGGGCAGTGGAAGCCCGACTGCAGGCAGTTAGGAAGAGGATGGCAGTGAGGAATGGGATGGAGACCCCACACGGTAGAAGAAGGGTGACAGGAAGCCAGAGATGGAGGGGCAGCAGGAGTTGAAGGTGAGGAGGGTTGGGATGCTAGAATTGGTGGAGGGGTGGCGGGACCTTGTGCTGTAAGGGTTGTGGGGAGGATGGATAATAAAGCACTTGGGGTGAAGGTGGGGCAGGGACACTTTCTGGAAGCCCACCCCACCTTTAATAGGTCTGAGAAAAAGACCTAAGTGCCTGGAATAGTAGGGATAGGAGGATGTGATGCAGAAATCAGGACAGAACAAACAGTGACAAATGCAATGTCATTAGGTGGAGTGATGTCCTGGTCACTGCAACATGGTATCAATAGTCCCAGCCTGTGTGGGGGTGCAATCTGCAAAAAATGAAAATAAGCATCTTCTTCAATTTTTACACTCAAGTGTACAGCTTGATGATTATTTACATATGTACACAACTGTATAAACACCACTCAGAGCAGATATAGAACATTCTCCACATCACATAAAGCTGCCTCCTGCCTCTTCATGTAGCCTCGAGTGGGAGACCTCTATGCCAACTTCTTCATCATCAATTGTGTCTGTTCTTGAACTCCATCTCTCTGGAATCCTAAAGCATGCACTCTTTGGTCTGGCTTCTTTTCACGCAACATAATATTGGATGAACTCATCCATGTCATTCTGTGTACCAATAGTTCCTTTTCTTATTGCTGGGTAGATTCTATCATTATAACCGTTCTACCGTTGATGAGCACTTGGGTCATTTTCAGGTTGGAACCATTACAAATAAAAGTAATTACGCGCCCTCCCCTTTAAAAACCTACATCTTATTCTCTCTCCCTCTTGCTCATATACAGGCCCTCCCACAGGTGCGAAAGCAGCCCAGCCTCCTCTGGGAGGTCTCCCCTTGCCCCTCGATACGAATTTCCTCATGGCTGGGGGATGTGAGCTCTGGACTGGGAGCTGGGGTGGGAGCAGCGATACCCTCTTCCTAAGACTCATCCTCTCTTTCAGCCTCCTCGCCCTGGGCCGCGGGCGCCCTGAGCCTTCCTCACCCCGCAGGGGAGCTCGCCCGCGGCCCCCCATGAGCGCTCCCGGCTGACCGGCGAGGGGGGCCGCGGTGGAGCCTGCGTGCCGCGGGGGCAGCGGGGCCATGGCCTCGCTGGACCTGCCATACCGCTGCCCCCGCTGCGGGGAGCACAAGCGCTTCCGGAGCCTGTCGTCGCTGCGCGCGCACCTGGAGTACAGCCACACCTACGAGACGCTCTACATCCTCTCCAAGACCAACAGCATCTGCGACGGCGCCGCCGCCGCCGCGGCCGCCGCCGCCGCCGCCTCGGGCTTCCCGCTGGCGCCCGAGCCCGCCGCCCTGCTGGCCGTGCCCGGCGCCCGGCGCGAGGTCTTCGAGAGCACGTCCTTCCAGGGCAAGGAGCAGGCGGCCGGGCCGTCCACTGCGGCGCCTCACCTGCTGCACCACCACCACCACCACGCGCCCCTCGCCCACTTCCCCGGAGACCTGGTGCCCGCCAGCCTGCCCTGCGAGGAGTTGGCCGAGCCGGGCCTCGTGCCCGCCGCCGCCGCGCGCTACGCGCTGCGCGAGATCGAGATCCCGCTGGGGGAGTTGTTCGCCCGCAAGTCCGTGGCGTCCTCGGCGTGCTCGACGCCGCCACCTGGGCCCGGCCCCGGCCCCTGTTCCGGGCCGGCCTCCGCCTCCCCCGCGTCCCCCTCACCGGCGGATGTGGCCTATGAAGAAGGCCTGGCGCGCCTCAAGATCCGCGCGCTGGAGAAGCTGGAGGTGGACCGGCGGCTGGAGAGGCTGAGCGAGGAGGTGGAGCAGAAGATCGCGGGCCAGGTGGGCCGGCTGCAGGCCGAGCTGGAGCGCAAGGCGGCTGAACTGGAGACCGCGCGGCAGGAGAGTGCGAGGCTCGGGCGCGAGAAGGAGGAGCTGGAAGAGCGCGCGTCTGAGCTCTCGCGCCAGGTGGACGTGAGCGTGGAGCTGCTGGCCTCGCTCAAGCAGGACCTGGTGCACAAGGAACAGGAGCTGAGTCGGAAGCAGCAGTGAGTAGACCCTCGGGTTCTGTAGGTGGTTGTACCCGTCCAGTCACTGTGCCGCCACAATCACCGGGGGCGTGCCTGAGTGTGTCTGTGTATGTGGCTATGGCTTTGTAACAGGATCTGTGGCCACGAGCATGCAGTGATGGTGTGTGGGGCCAAGAGTGTCACGATGATGTGTGCTTGGTACTGTGAAGACTTGGCAGTGTGACCCTGTGCCTCTTTGTGAAGACTGTGCCTTTCTCCTTCTCTGTCCTAGACAAGCCAACCCTTGCATTTTGGCACCAGATCCTCTTCCCTTTTGGCTTCCTAAAGATATAGCTCAACTCTCCCCTCTCCATCATGAGACTTTCTGTTTCTGCAGGTCATTCCTAAAAGCATAAAGACATGTCATTTCTCCCATCTGCCGTAACCCTCTTCCCCTTAAGCTGCTGCCCCTTTTCTCTCCGCCTTACAGAAGACTCCTTCTATTTGTTTATACTTCTTGTCTCCAATTTCTGTCCTTACTTTCTCTCTTGAACCCAGTCTGATCGCATTTCCACCTCTACCAGAGTCCCTGGTAGAGAGACCTTCCTGTTGCTAAGGCCAAACCATCATCTTACTTGGCACATTGGCAGCATTTGACACAGCTGAACCCTGACATGCCTTCTCCACTTGCCTTCTGGGACACTCTTGGGATTTCCTTCTAGCTTTTTGTCTCAATTTTCTTCATTTCTCTGGTCTTTAAATGTAGGATTATGAACTACAGATGGTCCCTGACTTACAATGGTTTGACACAATTTTTTGATTTTTTGATGCTACAAAAGCACCATGCAGTCATTAGAAACTATACTGTATGAAAATGAAAAACAGTATATACAACCATACTTTTTTTAGTACAGTATCCAATAAATTACATGAGATATTCAACACTTTTTTTCATAAAATAGACTTTGTGTTCAGTGATTTTGTCTAACCGTAGGCTAACATAAGTGCTCTGAGCACAAGTAAGGTAAGCCGGGCTAAGCACTGATGTTCAGTAGGTTAAGTTATTAAATACACTTTTGACTGATGATATTTTCAACTTATTATGGGCTGATGAGGATGTAACCCCATTGTAAGCCAAAGAGCATTTGTATATAGATATTATTTATATGTCCCCATTGTGATATAAACTCCATAAAGACAGGAGTTGTTCACTGCTATTTCCCCAATACCTAGAACAGTGCCTGGCACCTAGAAGGTGCTCAATAAATGTTGAATGGATGCACAAACAACCGGGAATGCAATTGGGAGTAAGTACACATGTGATTCTAAGTGTGCCATGTGTTCATGAGCTCCTAGAAGTTGGTGCAAACTATCAGTATGCTTCCACATTTGAGTGTATTCCTCTGCGTGTTGATGTGACTTAGTGTATATTTTTGAATGTTCCTGAAAGTGTATTTGACTATGTTGGTGGTACTGTGCCTCCACGTTTCTTTGCGTGTCTCACACGTGAGCATGTGCTCGAGCTGGAACATGATGTGAGTACAGAAACATGAATGTGTGGGGCTGTGCCTGGGGCTGTGTAATGGGGCTCTGTGTGGGGATATGTGACATGGCTGGTGACTCTAAGTGTGTGCCTAGGAGTGTGCTGTGTTGGGATGCTGGGTACTGAAGGGCATGCCTGTGTGTCTGAACATGTCTGTGTTTATGAGAGAGATGTGTCTGGTTATGGCATATGGATGTACATGGGGTACATGTGTGTGGGGCTGTGTGTGTGCCTGGAGTGATTGTGTGGGATGAGTATGGCTGAGTATTTCTTGGAAAGAAGGGTGTGTAGTTGCATGTCTTGTATTGGGTGGGTAGGGTGTGAGTGTGTAGCTCGGAGTGCAATGTGCATGCGTGCATTTCTGTTCTGTGTCATCGTGTGGGGCCATGTGCTTGGCCTGTTCTGCAGAAACCCATGTGACCATAGGCAGACACTGCAGGCAGCTGTGCAGGTGTCTGCCTGCACTGGCTGGGCTCTCTTTCGGAGGGGATGTGGGCAGGCAGGCCAAGACTCTGGGGTAAGAGACTGCTCTGGGCCCAGGGAGGTGGTGCAGATCGACCAGTTCCTGAAGGAGACAGCGGCGCGGGAGGCCAGTGCCAAGCTGCGGCTGCAGCAGTTCATTGAGGAGCTCCTTGAGCGCGCTGACCGTGCCGAGCGGCAGCTGCAGGTCATCAGCAGCAGCTGTGGCAGCACGCCCAGCGCCAGCCTGGGCCGTGGAGGTGGGGGAGGTGGCGCTGGCCCCAATGCCCGGGGCCCAGGCAGAATGGTGAGTGCCCACATGCCTTCCCTCCTCTATCTGCACACCTGGCCCCCCGCAACCTCACCTTTCACATGGCCAGACCTCTCCCCATGATGCCTCATCTGCCCCTTCTTTGGCTTTTCCTCCATGAGCAGATGCTGGGAACAGGGGAGCCCCTCTGATTGGGCAGGAGTGCCAGTGGCAGCCCCTAAGGCTGCAGTGAGATGTGATCCAGTGGCCCCAGCCATCAGGGGCTATCTCTGCCCATCCCTGCAAATGAGAGCCCAGGAGCCACTAGCTGGAGTTCAGGGTGTTGGGTGGGTGTGGGGAGGCGGCTGGTGAGCCTGCCTCTCTGGGCTGTCTGTCTGTCCATTTGTCCATCTTTCCCAACTTTTTTCCTTCTCTCTCTTCCCCTCCTCTCCATCTTTTACCCTGTTTCCCTGCTATTCCTGCTCATCCTCTTGGCTCCTCTGCCCCTCTCCTTTACCTCCCACTCTGGGGGCCCACAGCGAGAACACCACGCAGGCCCGGCCATGCCTAGCACATATGCAGTGTCACGGCATGGCTCCTCTCCCAGCACAGGGTAAGCCTTGGGCCCAGCCCACCCCATGCAGCCTACCCTCGCCCTGGAAAGATCCGCTGGCCTTTCTGGGGCTTGTGTCATCCTCTGCCCCTACCCTCCCTGGCTCACCTGTGTCTGCCTTTCCTCACCCAGAAGGGGCTTTTGGAAAGCAGGGCGGGTGGGTTGCCCTCGGCTGATGGTAGGGGCAGAGTGGGGAGTTTGGGCAGGCCTGGTGCCTCTCACCCCTTACTGTGTGGTCCACCCTGCCTCAGGGCCTCCAGCCGTGTGCCAGCCGCATCCCAGAGCTCAGGCTGCTATGACAGTGACAGTCTGGAGCTGCCCAGACCAGAGGAGGGGGTCCCTGAGGACAGTGGCCCTGGGGGCTTGGGCGCACGGGCCCAGAATGCCAATGGGGGCCCAGAACGGTCCCAGGCCCCTCGCAGCTCAGGCCTGCGGCGCCAGGCCATCCAGAACTGGCAGCGCAGACCCCGCCGACACAGCACCGAGGGGGAAGAGGGTGATGTCTCTGACGTGGGCTCCCGAACCACTGAGTCAGAGGCTGAGGGCCCGTTGGATGTGCCCCGCCCCGGGCCTGCTATGGCTGGACCATTGAGCAGCTGCCGGCTCTCAGGTAAGTCCTGGAAGGGTGGGCAGGGAGACACAGGACTGAAACAGTGAATTTCCTGGGCTCCTGCATCTCCCCCTTTCCCCAGACTTGCCCACCCCTCCTACATAGCGCCCTTTAGGCCTGGGGCAGGAACTTTTTGACAGGGCTGGGCTGCAGTGGCACAAGTATGCTCAGATTGTCTGTTGCACAAGGATGCCGCATCCAGCCCAGGGAGGGGTCCATTCACCTAGTGGGCTCATTAACATTTACAGGAGAGCAGTTGAGTGTTGCCTCCAAACTCTGAAGCCCCTGGTGCAGTGGGGGAGGCCCCGCACATGTGTGGGTGGGTTGGAGGTGAGAGGGTTAGGGTCAGGGGTGTAGCTGCACCCCATGTTCTGGGCAGCCGCATGTCTGCCCTCTGTTTCCAGAGGCCTGGTTTATACTCCAGCACCCCCCAACTCCTTTCCCTCTCCAAATCTGATGCATTACCTCATGTAGGGGGTGAGTTTGAGTGATATATAACCTTAAAAAGAAAGTTTACATAAGGTACACCTTTTTGTAATGCGTAAAATTAGAGATGGGGTACTTCCAAGGACAGGGATGCAGAGGCCCCTTTTCCTTCCCCCCCAGGCCCCGGTACCCCAGCATGCCCATTCCTCTGCAGCTCCCACCCTGCCCCAGCTCCCCACACACTTCCTCACACCAGCCTTGACCCTCCATGCTCACTTTTGAACCCCTGGTATTCTGCAGCCCGCCCCGAGGGAGGCAGTGGGCGGGGTCGGCGAGCAGAGAGGGGCAGCCCCTCACGCTCCAACGAGGTCATCAGCCCAGAGATCCTGAAGATGCGAGCCGCCCTCTTCTGCATCTTCACCTACTTGGACACGCGCACACTGCTGCATGCTGCCGAGGTCTGCCGGGACTGGCGCTTCGTGGCCCGCCACCCCGCAGTCTGGACAAGGGTGCTGCTTGAGAATGCCCGTATCTGCTCCAAGGTGCCTGCCCCACCTGTCTTCTGTTCCCTGCTTGAGGCCACCTTTCCCCTGGGTAGCATCTGACCCCTCAAGGTCTGGTCTTTGCAACCCTTACAACACTAGTGCCAACCTGGCTTGCCTGAAATGCTGTCATGGGGCCTCCTATCCTGGGGCTGGCCCACCTCCAGCCAACCAAGTTCAGATCCCTTCATCTCCAAGTACCCTTCCCCGCCCCCGCAGTTCCTGGCAATGCTGGCTCAGTGGTGCACCCAGGCTCACTCTCTGACACTGCAGAACTTGAAGCCCCGGCAGCGGGGAAAGAAGGAGAGCAAGGAGGAGTATGCCCGGAGTACCCGGTGAGGCCTGCAGTGGGTGGGTGGTGGGTGCTGTTGGGCCACAGGCCTGGAGTTAAGTAAGGATGTTTCCCAGAGGAGGAGGTGGCCAGCTCTCTGAGTTTCTGGTCATCCCCAGGGGCTGCCTGGAAGCTGGGCTGGAGTCCCTGCTGAAGGCAGCTGGGGGGAACCTGCTGATCCTGCGCATCTCCCACTGTCCAAACATCCTCACCGACCGCTCGCTCTGGCTGGCCAGCTGCTACTGCCGCGCACTGCAGGCTGTCACCTACAGGTGGGTCCACCTGACTAGAAGCATGGCCCATGCCCTCTCAGCCCAGGGTCCCACAATATCCCGAGGTACTGCATAGTCTCCACCAGGGTTCTCAAGCAAAGGGACCCAAGACCTCTATGGCCGAAGGGAAGGAAGCCTCGGCAAGAGCAGAGGCCACCAGAGTGGGCGACTCCAGCTTTGTCTTGTATCTTTTCTTTTGTATTTTTATTTTTGAAATAGAGATGGGGTCTCGCCGTATTGCCCAGGCTGATCGAGAACTCCTGGGCTCTGGTGATCCCCAGCCCTGGCCTTGGCCTCCCAAAGTGTTGGGATTACGGTATAAGCCACCCCGCCGGCCGACCTGCAGTTTTGTCTTTTCACAGGAGTGCCACAGACCCTGTGGGCCACGAGGTCATTTGGGCCCTGGGAGCAGGCTGCAGAGAGATCGTCTCCCTCCAAGTGGCACCACTTCACCCCTGGTGAGCCCTGGCAGGTTTGGGGGGTGGCAGAGGGGACACAGTTGGTCCTGTGTCCTGAGGAGTGAGTAGATCAGAGCCCATTCCACAAGCTATTAGGACAGATTCATGCACATTAATCTGTCCATTGAGGCCTTAGGAGCAGAGCTTTAAAATCAGACCTGGTTGGCCAGGCGCAGTGGCTCATACCTGTAATCCCAGCATTTTGGGAGGCTGAGGTGGGCAGATCACCTCAGGTCAGGAGTTCAAGACCAGCCTGACCAACAGGGGAAAAAACCTGTCTCTACTAAAAATAACAAAATTAGCCGGGCATGGTGGTGCGTGCCTGTATTCCCAGCTACACAGAAGGCTGAGGCAGGAAAATCGCTTGAAGCCAGGAGGCGGAGGTTGCAGTGAGCTGAGATCACACCATTGCACTGGTGAAACTCTGTCTCAAAAAATAATAATAATAAACTAAATAATAATAAATAAAATCAGACCTGGGGTTATGTCCTGGCTTACTGGCACTGTCACCTTGGGCATCCCAATCATGTCTTAGTTTCTCAAACTGCAAAGTAAAGGTGGTATTAGGAACTGTGGACCTTATTAGGGCTGTTACTGGCCCAGATGAGATCAAGTACCCAAAGCCTGCAGAGTCCACAGTAATTGTTCAGTAAACACCAGCTAAAAATCACCAGCTTTGTTTGACATATGAAAGGCGGTTCAGGGAGGTCGGTGTATAAGAACCAGTTGTTGGAGAATCCAGGCTATGAAATCCTTTCTCACTCTGCCTGGAGTTCCTCAAACACGCCAGGCTCTTTTGCTCCCCACACTTTGCCTCTCTCCACACGACAGCTCCTCCTGGACAGCGTGTCACTACTCACCTGCCTCCATCTCCACTGCACCTTGCCCTGACCCCTCTGTCATCGACTTTGCAGGATCATCCCTGACTCCTCTGCTCTCATCTCATCTGCCAAGTCCTGCAGATTCTGATTTCCAAGCACTTTTTTTCTTTTTCTGTTTTGAGACAGGGTCTCGTTCTGCCACCCAGGTTAGAGCACAGTGGTGCGATCTCAGCTCACTGCAACTTCCACCTCCCAGGTTCAGGCGATCCTCCTGCCTCAGCCTCCTGAGTAGCTGGGACTATAGGCATGGGCCACCATGCCCAGCTAATTTTTGTATTTTTAGTAGAAATGGGCTTTCACCATGTTGGCCAGGCTGGTCTTGAACTCCTGGCCTCAGGTGATCTGCCCGCCCTAGCCTCCCAAAGTGCTGGGATTACAGGCATGAGCCACCACGCCTGGCCCTACTTTGCAATAATTTGTTTATATTTCGATCTCCTCCACTAGACTGGTGGTTCTCAAGGCAGAATCTAGGAATGTCCATTTCTGTATCCCTGCTACCAAGTGGATAATAGATGCCAGAGAGATATCTATTGCCAGGGCAAATGCTGAGGGATGAAGTATTCAGGGAAATGGCAAGTTTGGTGTGAATGGAAAGGAAAGTTGGGGCAATCAGGAAGGGCCTTGCTAAGGACTTTAGGTTTTTTGCATTTTATCTAGAAAGCATTGGAAGCTCTTTCGGGGGATTTTAGATTATAAGAAAGGGATTAAGATCAGACTGGTAATGTTCTATGCCCCCCACCACTCCTGCCACTAAATAGACTGTCCACTCTTTGAGGGTAGGGACCCTGCCTGTGATGTCACCACTGCACCTCCAGGACCTAGCTCAGTTGTTCTTGACTTGATAACCATTTGCTGAATGGTGGCATGAATGGATGTAGGAATGAGGGGCTCCCGGTCTGTAGTGTGAAGGATGACACGGCAGGAGACTAGTACTAACCCAGAGAATGCCAATGGTGGTCTGAACTGTGGGTTCAAGAGTACTTGAGGTTGGGCTCAGTGGCTCGTGCCTGTGATCCCAGGACTTTGGGAGGCCAAGGAGGGTAGATCGCATGCGGACAGGAGTTTGAGACCAGCCTGGTCAACATGGTGAAACCCATCTCTACTAAAAATATGAAAAAATAAGCCGGGCATGGTGGCACACACCTGTAGTCCCAGCTACTTGGGAGCCTGAGGCAGGAGAATCACTTGAACCCAGGAGGCAGAGGTTGCAGTGAGCCAAAATCACACCACTGCATTCCAGCCTGGGTGACAGAGTGAGAACCTGTCTAAAAAAAAAAAAAAAAAAAGAGTGCTTGGGAATCAGAATCTGCAGGACTTGGCAGATGAGGGCATAATAGTCAGGGATGATCCTGATTTTCTGACTTGACCAGCTGGGTTGTTGGGAGGAACACTTGCCTCAGTCAGGGAGGGGTCCCACAGGAGGAACATGCTGGGGTGTCAGGCATCCAGAGACTTCTCTGATGACTCCCCCTTCCCATTCTCCAGCCAGCAGCCCACGCGCTTCAGTAACCGCTGCCTGCAGATGATTGGTCGCTGTTGGCCCCACCTGCGGGCCCTGGGGGTCGGGGGTGCCGGCTGTGGGGTACAGGGCCTGGCATCACTCGGTGAGTCTTTCCTTGGATTGAGTCGGGTAGTGAGAAGCAGGCATGGGTGCAGTGCTACCCTGTGAAATCCCACAGGGGATCAGGACTGCAGCCTGGGTGGTGGCAGGGGACCCAGGGTGCTGCCCGCGGGGGTGACCTGGGGAGTTTGTCAGCAGGATCCTTCTGCTTCCTCTTCCTAGCGAGAAACTGCATGCGGCTGCAGGTCCTGGAACTTGACCATGTGTCAGAGATCACCCAGGAGGTGGCGGCAGAGGTCTGCCGTGAAGGCTTGAAGGGACTGGAGATGCTGGTGCTCACAGCCACCCCTGTCACCCCTAAGGCCCTGCTGCACTTCAACAGTGAGCAATGGGGGAATGCAGGGCAGGGTATGACTGTCACCTTTCACAGGGCTCTGTCAGCAGGTAGCCTAACTATCACTGGTGCAGATTGATCAGGGCCTCCAGCCAAGGGCAGAGGCAAGGGGACAGGTTAAGAACACTGGGTCTGGAGCTCAACTGACCTAGGTCCCATGTCTGGCTCTGCTACTTATTAGCTCAGTGACATTGGGCAAGTTACTATACCTCTCCAAGTCCCATCTTCTAAGCTGACTGTCTAGGATGCGTGAGAGGATTAAATGAGATGATATGTGGAAGCCCCCCCAGGACAGTTCTCAGGGTGAGGACCCCTCTCTCCCTGAACTCCATATCATGCCTCCTTCGCTTCCACACCTTTCAAACCACCCACTCCACCCTCAGTCATTCATCCACCTGCACTGAGGACATGGCACCCAGTGTGGGCTGCTCCTGCCCAAGGAGACCACTAGCCAGGACCCTTTGGCTCCTGGGAGGACCCCATGCTGACTGCGCCAACATGCCTTGACCCTCTTTCCAAGACCTTCTTCCCCCTTCAGCCACATGGCACACCCTGGACCACCAGAATCAGGACCTCCCAGTGCTTCTCAGCCACCTTCCTCCACCTCTCCATACTTCACGCCCTTAAGCCCTCTGTTCCCCAGTGTTTGTCCCACCTCCCCCTCCTTTATGCTCCAGCCTGGATCCACAAGCCTCACCTCAGCCACTCTGTTCCTTGTCATTCATACCAGACCATGGACAGCTTCCCCCTCTGTCAGGGAAATTTCCAGAGCCCTTCAACAGCTGGCCGCTGCCCATTCACCCTCCCAGACGCCACTGCAGCCTCTCCGGTGCCTCAGCCCCATCTACCTCTCCCTACATCCGGTCGCCAGCCCCCAGATGGCATGGGTCTGCTGTCCTCTGTCATGGACAGAGGTGGTGGCTGGCACATGATTGTCTGCTTTCCTTAATTAGTGAGAGGATAGGAGGCAGCTCCATTGTCCAAGCCCAACACGCCCCCTGCCTTGCCCACCCTTTCTCAGGCATCTGTCGGAACCTAAAGTCCATTGTGGTCCAGATTGGGATTGCAGATTATTTCAAAGAACCCAGCAGCCCTGAGGCCCAGAAGCTGTTTGAAGACATGGTGACAAAACTTCAGGTGAGGGGTCAGCTCTGAGGCTGCCCAAGACCCCTAGTGGCATCCCTAGACTGGGGCCAGTGACCTGGGTGAGTGTGGCAGGAGGGACCCACCTGCCTGGCACAGAGGGAGGACTAACCCAGGGTTCTGTCCACAGGCCCTACGACGGAGGCCCGGCTTCTCTAAAATTCTGCACATCAAGGTGGAAGGCGGCTGCTAACCCGGGTAGGGGGCGGCAGGGCCCCTGCCAGCCCCACACCAGGGCACTCTCTTTGGACCTCAGAGGGACCCTGGTTTGGACTAGACCTTTGGAGGCCACGTGTTATCCCTGGCTTCCAGGGGAGACTGACAAGTCTCCTGTCGTCCTCCTGGAGCAGTGGAGCAACAGGCCTGACCCAGGGCACTGCCTCTCCAGTACAGGGGCTCGGACAGAAGCTTCCCTCTGACCCCAACCCTACCCTAGCTGGAGCAGCCTCTGGCACAGCCAGTGAGGAGCTGTCACCACCAGCATCTGGTGTTATCACCTGCAGGATCTGCAATAACCACCCAGTGGTTCCTCAGCTGTTCCGGCCGGCCTCTCCTTCCCGAGGCCCAGCCTCCTGGTCAGGAGCCTCTGGGGCCAAGGTCAGCGGGGGCTCCACAAGGCAGCTCAGACTTGGCAAGGAGGGCTCTTCTCCCCAACCCTGCCCCAGCTTCTGGGGGCACCCCATTTAGACAGCCTGCCTAGGCTCTGGATCTACATTTTCTGGGGATACTACAGGCAGACCTAGGGGCCTGGGCACATGGTCAGCCAAAAGCTGGGGGCAGCAGTACAATGGAGTGGTGGGGGTGGGTTTGGAAAGGAAACAGTCACCCAGAACTTCTCCCCAGGATGAGACCACCCTTCCAAGGTGGGGGATTGCCAGGGAGAGAAAACTTATTTATTGCTGTAAGACAAGACCCTTCCTCTCAGCCCCACACCCCACTGCACACCGGAGCTAAATTCAGAGCTGAAAGGTGCATGTTTCTATACCTACACTCATTCTGAGGGACCCTCCAGAGGGTCAGGGTCCCAGCCCCAGGCAGCCCTGTCACAGTGAGTAGTTCCTGTCCTCAAGGAATTTCTAATCCAGGTGCTTGGGCAGGAACCTGATGGCCTTTGGGTCACCAGGGCTGTCTGGGAGGGAGGCACGGGGCCACCCTCTGTGCTGAGGCCTTGGAGGAAGCCAGGATGAGGGTGGCTTGCTTTGCTTCCTTGTCTAATTAGCTTGCTTGGAGATGTGGCCTTGGCAGGGGGCCAGACCCATGGGGCCAAGAAGAGGAAGAGCATCCTCCAGACTCACTCCCCCTCCTCAGTCTCCACAGGACCGGCGGGCTGAGTGAGGGCTGCCTTGGAGTCTTCTGCCTAGGGGCAGTGCTGAACCTGGGCTGGAGCCACTTGGCTTAGAAGCCACAGGATGCCAGTGGGGCTTTTCACCGGCCTTTGCAGTCCCCAAAGTATCAGGTCTCAGCACCAAGGCTCCAAAGGCTCAGATCTCCCCGGTTCCTCCTCTAAGTACTCCCGTAGTGGCTCAGAGGCTGGGGGTCCTGCCAACCTTCATTTGGAAAGTTCTTTCAGACATCTAAACTAGATCTACCTTAGGGTTTCTTTCTCTCCTAGATAGAATCGGCTCCCAGCCCTAGCCATTAGGCCTGGCTGGGGATGGGGTCCCCTCATTACCCAGTCCTTTCCAGGGACCAACTTCCTAACACAACCTAGCTTGGACATGAAGACCCAGCCCTAGGTTACCTTGTAAAGAGTCCTCCAGAGCTGGGACCCCACAGGCTCAGCAGCACACCCAGCTCCCCTAGTGTCACTCCCTAGCTCTGTCCCAGCTCTTGCTATCATGGCTGACTTTTCCTCCCATGGCTTGTTCTGTCCTTGCCCTTAACCTAAAATACCAAGGGTGTTATGCTGGCAACTCCCTGCCTAGTCCTGCACGAAGCCTTGGCTGTGTGTGGCACCCCCTGCTTCTACCCCAGAGCAGCTGGCTCCACTGGTTTCCTCCCTGCACCAGTCCTGTCCTCAGGGGTCAGGAAAAAGCAGCACAGCCGCCTTCTCCTCCAGAGGCCTGGAAGGGAGGTGGAGGTCCACTAAGGGCCTGGCTGCTTTGGGTTTGTTTGTCCTGCCTTGCCAACTGCACCCCTGTAATTCCTGCTCCCTGTGACCCCAGAACCAGAGGTGCTGCCTTCCCTGTCTCCTGGACAAAGCACAAAGGGATGCCCTGTTTGGCTTAAGCCTGCCCAACTGAGGGATTTTCTCTGCCCCTGGGACCTTCCATCCCTGAATACAAGGCTCTGGGCAACTTCTGAGTGGTACACACTAGACTGCCTGGCATCAGCCCTAGGAAAGGAGGTTGGGGTGTATGGGCAATGAGCTAGGGTGACAGAAGGGTGGTGCTGAAAGGTTACTGATGCTAGTCATAGTTTTATTCACTCATTCATTCATTCATTCGTGCAATAGTACTGAGCACCACCAGCACTAGAGACAGAAGGATGAACAAGATACCCTTCCGCCTGGGGGGACGTCCACTTCCCATGAGTTTAGCGATTTCCAGGAAAGCCCCTCAGTCCTCCGCCCTGTTCTGGCTATGTGAAGGATGTGTGAGAGCACATATTGCACAGGCCTAAGCCTTTGCAGCAGGAGTAAGAGGTCAGAGTATCGCATTGCACACGCACCCCCCGGGGCTGACAGGCCTGTGCACCCCAGCCTTCATGCATGCTGAGCACTGGCAGCTTTACAGCCCTTGCTCCCCACCAGCCCTTTGATGCTCTTCTTTTGTTCTCTCCTGGGGGATGAGCCCTGCTGCTGAGTAGGGAGCTTTTGCTTGCTGGGAGGCTCTATGCATTCATTTCTTTGGCAACCATACAGCTAAGGCTGAGGATGGAAACAGGGACAGTGGGCCTGGCCATCCCTATAAGCACTTCATCCATCTTTACCCATCCAAAGGGGATCCCTCCACATTTCATACTCAGTAAGATGCAAAAAAGAGGAATATCTGAGAACAAGCAGCCCTGCTCCAGGGGCCCCAGGTATGTGTTGAGGCGCAGTAGAGGTGGCCACTTGGTGTTCCTACCACCCCCTGCCATCTAGCCTGGCCCCAGTGCCTACCTTGGAGGCTGGTGTACTTGGCTTAAGTACTTCATGCTTTATTCAGGTTGCTTTCCCACAGCACTGGCAGAAAATGATGCATATATATGCATCCTTGCGGGGATAAAGAATGGGTGGGCTGCCCAGAACCGTCGCCTTTCCCCAGCCAGGAGAGACCACCGAAGTATCAGGGCAGCTCTTGCTTTCTTAGTCCTATAATACTAGAGTCTGAGCAAGCCCCTCAGGAATTGCCTCAAAAGGAAAAAACAAAACAAAAAAGGCCTCCTTCCCAAGGCCTGCTACTCCAAGGTTTGGCTCCATTCCTTGCCTTTGGGTCCTGCCTGTTACCCTGGTCCTGGTTTCTAATCTTTTGGGCCACAGGTGGGGAGCAGTCTGGGCCCCAATCCCTCTAAGGCGCTAAGCTGAAGGAGACCTTCCCAGAGTGACTATTGGTGCCAAAGTCCGAGTTCCTGGTGGACTTGGGGTAAAAACAGGAGAGATGGTGAGTGGGTGTATGGCCCACGTGCCCAGAGAAGTTAACTCGAACCCATGGGACCTGTCCCAGCCTGTCAGTCCCTGATGAGTGTAACTTCCTTCCCCTGGGGGCCTGGCCCTTCTCTCTACCCCAGTGGCCATGCTTTCTCACCCAGCTTTGTACCAGGCCTGCATTTCTGTATATATTGCTGTGTATTGTGTGTATGTATGTATTCCGGACAAGTGTTCATTTGCAGCCCTTGCCTGAGGATAAGGTTTAGGATTGGGTAAAGATCAGAGTACCAGGGCCAACAAAGGCAACTACTCCCTCCCCAACCCCTTGGGACCTCAGCCAGTCCCAAGGCTGCCCTGACAATCAAGCAGGCTCCCCACCTTGAGGCCAAGTCTCCTCTGCCACTGCCAGCATGGCCCAAGGGAGGCTTGGCCTTGGGCTTGCCCAGCCTCAGCTCTACCCTGGCAAGGGTCTTATATCCAGGGCAGAGGCCTGAGGTGACCCAGGCTTGCCTTGTGGCTGATGCCAGCAGGCTTGGTTCTAGTGGGCACCACTGGTGGGGACCTCCATAACTGGCCCCTAGGCCCTGCCTTCCTGCACAGCTAGGCTATAATGGGCCTGAGTGTGAGAGGGTAGCTTCCCCAGCCCCAAGCACAGGCAGAGGGGTGGAGAGCAATTTTTGGTTTTATTTTTGTTTCTGAAGTGGTGCCTGTACCTCCAGCCCCCAGGGGGCCTTCCCTGGCCACACTTCTCTGCCCTACCCAGGCATCGCCATCCCAGCACTTTGCTCCATGTCACCCATAAGATGCCCTTTGCTGAATGTACCTGAGCGTATGTATTTAAAAGGACTCACATGGGCATCAGAGAATTTATGACTCTGTATCCAATAAAAAAGGTGGTGAAACTGGTATCTCTGCCACAGGGAAGTAAATGGGATGTGGCCACACTTGTCATCTGTGTCACCATAGTCTTTCTGCAGCTTAAGTGCACACAGGCAGGTAACCCAGTGGAATGAACGGTGGCTCACACCTGTAATCCTAGCACTTGGGAAGCTGAGGTGGGAGAATCGCTTGAGCCCAGGAATTCGAGACCAGCCTGGGCAACATAGTGAAACCCTATCTCTACAAAAAAGTTAGCTAGGCATTGTGGCATGTGCCTGCAGTGTCAGCTACGTGGGAGGCTGAGGTGGGACGATATCAAGCCAGGGAGGTGGAGGTCACAGTGAGCTGAGATCATGCCACTGCACTCCACCTTAGGTAACCAAGTGAGGCCCCAACTCAAAAACAACAAAAACTTGTCTCAGGACTGCAGAAAAGCCACCTAGGTTACTGCCTTGCCACAGCTCAACCCCGCTTTCAGTGTGTGCATCCAGAGGAAATGCCTTGGGATACATTATTTCTGACTCTCAGCTGGGAGAGACTGTCTTCATGGGCAAACCCAGCAGCAGTACAACAGGGCAGCAGGCACTGCCCAGCCCCTCCCTGGCTTGGCTGCCTCCTCAGGAGGCTCTGGCCAGCCAATCAGGCTTTGACTGGGGGACACCAAGTTGCCATCATGGTCTGGCCTTGATTTTCCCATTTTATAAAATGCCCTTGTGCCCCTGACTTGATTCCTAGAGTCCTGAAATACTTAAAACCAGAAAAAAGAATAGGTGTTTTAGGCTTAAACTGTGTCTCTAACATCAAGTAAAATGAATATTTAAGTCTCACTACTCTTTGAGCTAGCTACTCTTACCCTGTCATAAAGGTAGAATAACAGAGGCTCAGAAAAATTAGTCTACCCAAAGAACATCAAGTTAGGAGGAAAGCCAGACTCCAAAGCCTGGACCTATGTGCTTGAGTCCATCTAACCAGGAGTGGCTAGGTTCAGATAATTTTTTTTAAAAATCACTTTCCAGGCCGGGCGCGGTGGCTCAAGCCTGTAATCCCAGCACTTTGGGAGGCCGAGGCGGGTGGATCACGAGGTCAAGAGATCGAGACCAT